TAACCATAACCCCATGACCCCAACCCTAACTGTAAACCTGATCCCAAATCTCTAACCCCAACCACAACCCTGTGACCCCAACCCTGACCCCAAAGCCCTAACCATAACCCCATGACCCTGACCCCAACCCTAACTGTAAACCTGACCCCAAAACTCTAACCCCAGTCATAACCCTGTGACCCCAACCCTGACCCCAAAGCACTAACCATAACCCCCTGACCCTAACCCTAACCCTAATCCCAACCTTAACCCTGTCACCCCAAACCTAGCTGTAAGCCTGACCCTAACCCTGACCCCAAAACTCTAACCACAACCCTGTGACCCTGACTCTGACCCCAAACCTAATCCCAACCTTAGCCCTGTCACCCCAATCCTGACCCCAAAGCCCTAACCATAGCCCTGTGACCCTGAGTCTGACCCTAACCCTAATCCCAACCTTAACCCTAACTGTGACCCCAACCCTGACCCCAATCCCACTCTAACCCTTACCACTACTCTGTGACCTCAAGCCTGCCCCCAAAACCCTAACCATAACCCTGTGAGCCTAACTCTGACCCTAAGTCTAATCCCAACCTTAACCCTGTGACCCCAACCCTAACTGTAAACCTAACCCCAATCCTGACCCCAAAGCCGTAACCACAACCCTGTGACCCTGACTCTGACCCCAACCCTAACCCTAATCCCAACTTTAACCCTGTCACCCCAACCCTGACCCCAAAGCCCTAACCACAACCCTGTGACCCTGAGTCTGACCCTAACCCTAATCCCAACCTTAACCCTAACTGTGACCCCAACCCTAACTGTAACCCTAACCATAACCCTGTGACCCTGACTCTGACCCTAAGCCTAATTCAACCTTAACCCTAACTGTGACCCCAACCCTGACCCCAATCCCACTCTAACCCTAACCACAACCCTGTGACCCCAACCCTGACCCCTAAATTCTAACCATAACCCTGGGACCCTAACTCTGACCCTAAGCCTAATCCCAACCTTAACCCTGTGACCCCAACCCTAACTGTAAACCTAACCCCAACCCTGACCCCAAAGCCCCAACCATAACTCTGTGACCCTGACTCTGACCCTAACCCTAAGCCTAATCCCAACCTTAGCCCTGTGACCCCAACCCCAAACCCAACTGTAAACCTGACCCCAATCCTGACCCCAAGCCCTAACCATAACCCTGTGATCCTAACTCTGACCCTCACCCCAATCCTAACCCTAACCCTAATCCCAACCTTAACCCTAACAGTGACCCCAACCCTAACTGTAACCCTGACCCCAAACCAAGCCGTCCCTGCAGCCACGAGCTGGGCTGGGTGGCTTCCTTTTGCTCCAGCCGTGGAGCAGCACAGGGTCCTTTTGCTGCCCTCGGTCCCTTCTCAGCTTTGCAGCACCGCAAGCTGCAGCTTAGTGGGAAACACTGATGGCGGTTGGGCCTCGGAGGGCTGTTCTGAGCGTGGAGATGTGGCTGTAACCCCTGTGCTCCTCCCCAAGGCTTCGACGGCGCCGTGCACGTCTACGACACGCGCAGCTGGGATGGCAGCGGGGCCGAAGCGCGGCCCCTCTTTGTGCACCGAGGCCACGCGTTTGGGGGGCGCCCCACGGTGACGGCGCACGCTTGGCACCCCCAGAAACCCAGAACCCTGCTGTCGGCGGCCACCGACGGCTCCTTGCACATCTGGGATTGGGTTCAGCCTCCGGGGAGCTGAGGGCGGCTGCCGCTTTGGGGTTTTCCTGCCTGCGCTCCCAGGCCGCCCATGGCCTGGAGGTGGTGACACGGAACGGGAATTCCTTGGGCCAGTTCCTTGGCGATGCTCTGCGCTCCCGTGTCTCGTTGGGATGTGAGTTCTGACCGCCTTGTTTTGCTCTGTTCTCTTGTTCCCCCCTCCCAGCCGTCGTTCCGTCGCTTTCCGTCGGCCTCGCGAGTCTCGGAGGGGAAAAAAAAGTAATTAAACGACCCCAAAAAACAACGAAGCAGCAAAGTACAATGCGAGGAAACGGGCTGTCCTGCGGCATCCTGAACCTCCTGCCTTCCTGGCCGTGTTGCTGTTCCATCCCATGTGTGTGTGTGTGTGTGGAGCAGGAAGCCGCAGCGGAGGCAGCGTGCAGAGGAGCAGCCCTTCCTGCTGTCAGCTTCGCCCTCCTCTCCCCTCTGAGCGGCAGCACCCAGCTGGGAGGAGGCCTGGCTGCATTCTGTGGGGCTGCTGGCTGCAGCTTCAACTCGAAATGCCATTTCCTGGGGCTGGAGGAGGAGCAGCAGCAGCAGCAGCAGCTTGGATCTCGCGGTGCAAAGGGGTGCAAAGGGGTTCGAGCGTTCCGCTGTTGTTGGTCTGCGTCCTGCTGCTCTGTTTGCTCAGAGGCGCCGTGGGGACAGGTGGGGACACGGGGTGAAGCTGTGGCCAAGGCCGCCAGGCAGCCGCGTGCTGGGAATGGGACGAACCGACCTGCGCTGCGCCATGGCAACGGCGGCTGGGCTGCGGGGGCCGAGCCGTGCTCCCAGCAGGGATCGGACGCAGGAGGGCGAGCTGCAGCCCGGGGCCTCGGCAGCAACGCAGCGCCTGCTGGTCTCTCCTGCACCCCAGCAAAACCGGAGCAGCTGAGCAGCGGGGCGAGCAGCCAGCTTTGCTCCCATCTCTCTGCTCTTGCCATGCGCTGGGTTGAGCTCTGGTTTCGGACACGGGGCAGGCTGGCAGCTTGGGAGCCGTTCCTAAAGCTGCAGGGCTGATCCTGGAGCAGCACAGGGGGCTGAGGGCCGATGGCTGCATCCTCCCTCCTCCACGCCACACAAAAGCAGCAGAGGCAAAGCGTGACCCCGTTTCACATCCAGCCGGGCCGGCGGTGCAGAGGGAAGCAAATCTGCTGCTCTTTGCAGGGAAGCGGTGCTTAAGTAACAGCGTGGTTTCATCACCCAGCGCTTCCCTTTTTGCGTTGGCTTGTTTTTTCTTTCTCTCCCTCCCAATCATTCCAGCTCGGAGAGGGGCTGGCGGCACCCAGAGCACCCAGAGCTCACAGCTGGGTGCAGGCAGAGCGATCTCCTATGGGCCATACAGAGCGCATGCAGGGCTTGCCCTCAGAGCAGCCTCGCCATAGGGCAGCAGTGGGGCTGCTGCTCCCCACGTGTCTCTGCTCTGCTCCCCCCACGCAGGGACGCTGCTGCAGAGGCTGCAGAGCTGATGATGCGTGCAGTTGTGCGCTTAGGAGGTTGGTTTGCTGCTGGCTGAGCCGTTCCCTGCTGCTTCTCCACGGGGAGAAGATAGAATCATAGGATCATAGGATCATAGGATCATAGGATCATAGAACCATGGAATCACAAGGTTGGAAACGACCTGTAAGATCATCCGGTCCAACCGCCTCCTCACCATCGCCACCACCAGCACTAAATCATCTCGCAGCTCCTCATCCAGGCGCCTCCTGAACGCTGCCAGGGACGGCGACTCCCCCACCTCCCTGTGCAGCCATTGCAGCGCCTGAGCACTGAGAGAAACAGTTCTGCCTCATGTCCAACCTAAACCTCCTCTGCTACAACTCCTGGCCGTTTCCTCGGCTCCTTCTATTTGCCTGGGAGAAGAGGCCAGGCCCTTTGACACCACAGCCTCCCTCCATGCAGTTGCAGAGTGCAGTCAGGTCTCCCCTCAGCTCCTCTTCTCACCCTCACCAATCCCAGCTCCCTCAGCCGCTCCTCAGCAGCCCTGTGCTCCACACCCCTCCCCATTTCGCCGCCCTTCTCTGCACGCTGCAGGGCCTCAACATCTTTCCTGCAGTGAGGAGCCCAAATCTGAACCCAGCACTCGAGGTGCGGCCTCAGCAGAGCTGAGTGCAGGGGATGCTCCCCTCCCTGCTCTGCTGGCCATTCCTCATGCAGCCCAGGCTGCCGCTGGCCCTCTTGCCCACCTGAGCACACTGTGGGCTCCTGTTCAGCCCAGCACCAACCAACACCCCCAGGTCCTTCTCTTCTTCACTCATCCAGCCACTCATCCCCAAGCCTGTAATGCTGCATGGGGTTGTTGTGGCCAAAGTGCTGGTGGCATTGCCACTAGAGGCACTCAGACCCTTTCCTGAGAGAGATTCAGCCTCATTTGTCGCTGGGATTTGGGCACAAAAGGTTCCCAGCTTTCCTTTTCCAAGGGGTCAACTGGCTGCACCGCGTTTTCCTTTTCCGTTTGATAAGCTCTTCTCCAACCATCCCCCCCACCCCGTTGTTTTTTTTTTTTCCACCTTTAGTGCTATTTCCTTTCAGCACTGCCACCATCTGCAGCTGTGGTCAGTCGGTATGTCCTGAAAGCACACCTTGAGGGACAGCCCTGGAGAGGACACTGTCCTGCACAGCGCCGTCCTCCGCCTTTCAGCACATCACTCCCCAGGCTTTCCTTCCCATCCCCGTCCTGTGGGATTTGATCAGGACAATGGTTCGAGACCAAGGAGATCTGCCTACGTTGGGGATCTTCCCCATGCCCAGAGGTGGCTCCTCTGCCCACAGCAGGGGGTTGGAAGCAGATGATTTCAAGGTCCTTCCAACTCAAGGCATTCGGTGATTCTTTGCCTACCTTGCCTTCCTTCATGCTTGCGCTTTGGTGTTTCACCAAGAATTGGGACACTGCTGTCATTGGAGCAGGCACCAGAATGAAAATTCATCATTCAGCCTACTTTTCATGCTGAGCGCTGCACAAGCAGAACTCGAGCTTCACTCTGGCCACCTCTGGCCACAGAGATGAGCTTCGGAGGAACGATACCTAAATCCTCCCAGCAGAAATATCAGTATTTCTCATGCTTTATAAAAAAAAACAGGTGAAAGGTACGAAAAGCAAGGCTCAAAACAAGTGGGAAGCATCTCTGCGACTTCTTGAAAGCTCCCGAAGGGCTGAGCCTGCCTGGCCCAAGGCACCAGCACCAGCCGGCAGGAGGGTCCGTGTCAACACCAGCACGGATCACTGCGCCCTCTGATGTCCCTGCAGACCTTGCAGCAGCCTGTCTGTCTGTCTGTCTGTCCATCTCAGGAACATCCTGTGCGGGAGAGTGCAGTGCACTAACATCAAAAGAGTGCCAGTCCGGCAAGACGGCGAGACCGTGGTCCAGACCTTCCTGAACAACCAGCTCTGCTGGGGGCTCGAGTTCCACCTGCCTTTCGACACGCCTGACGACGGCTCGGTGAAGGACGGCACGTCGTGTGGCACAAACAAGGTACCCACAGACAGCTAGAATAGAGCACGACGGGGGTTAAAGGGAAGGGTTTTCTTCCTAAAGAAAGCATTCGTGACCTCTGATGTCAGCCCCCGTCTGTTAAAGCCTCCCTTAGCAGCTGGAAAACAGCAGTGTGTCGTCGTAGCTTTTGTTGTTGGCAGCACACAGCTGTCTTTCCATTAGAAAAGGGAAGTAAAAGACTCTCCGCTCCTTTGGAAGCAACCAATCAAAGCCAACCTTTCTTTGCTGTGCACACAAAAGCATTGTGAATGTTCTTCCAAGAATAGGACTCACTTCTTCCCTGCGAGGCACTCAGAATGCCAAAGTCCTGTCAAGGCGGTGACGTACTGAAGGAGCATTTCTTGCTACCAGATGGCAGAGAACCGTTCTGAGAAAAACACGCGTGCTGAGTGGCAAGGGAAGGAGCCCTTGGTAGACTTCCCCTTTCAGGAGAGATGGGTCCCATGCCTCTCGCCTCAGTCATCGCAAAACCAATTAATTTGCAAGGCCAAAAGCTGAAAATAAATCTCCTCCTGCCCAGAGGAGACAGCTGTGCGCCTCCTGAAGGTACGAGGAGGCTCCACGTTATTCACTGAGCACACACCTATGAAGATCAGGGTGGTTGTGAGGGGTCCATCCACAACCCATCCATCCTCCCTGGCCTTGGGCAGGTACTGAAGGAGGGGTGTGAGCAGAGCGGGCACATGGGGGGCTTCATACAGGCCATTGGGTTTGTGCAGCAAACCAACGACTCCTGAAGTAGAACTGGTTTCTGCGCACGCTGCGATGCTCAGTTGGGTTTCTTCAGCTTCCCCTTTGGTTTGGCTCAGACCTGAAACACAAAACCTTCCTTTTTTGCTCCTATTCCTTCCCCTTGTTGCTTCTTTAGAGAGAGGGGATGGAAAGCCCTGAACAAAGGAACAGGCTCTGTAATTCTATCCTCCTTCACCAGTCGGTGCCCTGCTCCAACACCTGCCGTTGTACCTCGGCGCTAACAGCAAGCTGCCTCTTCCTGCAGATCTGCATCAACAGGACGTGTGTCAGCGCAGCTTTCCTCAGCAGCGTTTGCACAGCGAGAAAATGCCACGGCAAAGGGGTAGGTAGAAAACCTCGAGCTGTCCTTTGAAGGGTAGAGTGTGCAAAATGTCAATTTGCCTTTCAAAGCAATGCAGAGGTTCAGAATGGCTCCTGGCTCAGCAGCACAAACATTATTTTGGTTCCCACACATGACTTCCCCCCGGATCCTGCTCTGACAGCTTGCAGCTCTCTACCTCAGTGTTCACTGCCTTCCTCTGCCATTTTTCTTCTTTGTTCCCACAAACAATGCAAAAAAAAGTGACTTCTGCGTTGTAATGTTTCATCCTTCAGTGCAGCTGTCAGTGCTGCTGAATCTAAATCAGCCAGAGTTGGAGAGATCTTCTGAAAAATGCATGCTCGATTCTGTAGCGCTGCTCTCCTCGCAAATGCCACAGAAATGGCAGATTTTGTACAACGTTTCGATGTAGTCTCACATAAAACCCACGTTTCAGGCAGTAGCACTGGCAGAATTTCTTCACACAGGGGTTTATTTATGATGCCACCCGTACCTGTCCCTCCTTCCAGACAGATCTCCCTGCAGAGGAGCAGATCTGTCTGGGTGTCAGCATGGATGTTAAAGGAGAGTTTTGCCATCACCTCTGTCTGTCTTTATCTTCATTTTGAATCACACGAAGGTGACAAATCCATTTGGGACACATTTGTGAAAGGCTGTGTCGTCGTGGCAGAAACAGTAAGAGCATCCGCAAAAGGAGGGCAGATCTGCAAGCAGCAAAGGCTGCAGAAGTGCTTTCTGATGTCGAGATGAAAACAGAGACACGCAGAAAGCACTCCTGCTAAGCTGGAGAAAGGCAAACGCAACCATCTCTCACCCTCTGTGTGCTGTCAGCTCCTCCTGCTGTGTTTGCAGCCTCTCTCTGCGGGACCATCATCACAGCAAAAGGGTGCAGGGGTGGATGGGGAGCTCCTGCTGCCTTCACGTCACCGACAGAGCAAACACACAGCTTGTGACAGCTGTGTCAGGGGCACCCGTCTGCCACCTGCACACAACAGAGGTTAAACATTTCCACGGTGGCTGCCAAAGGAGAGTGACAGATTTGCCTCAGGGTGTGGATTCTGCCGGGTCCTGAGTCGAAGCGCTGGAGGCCAATCCCCAGGGGCCACCCAATGACTGCTGCATTTTTCATGCCGTAAAACATTCATTTTCTTTCAGGTCTGCAACAACAAGAACAACTGTCACTGTGATTTGGGATGGGCGCCTCCGGACTGCAGGGCAAAAGGGTTTGGAGGCAGCGTTGACAGCGGACCGCCTCCTTCTTACTATGGTGAGCACAGTGCAGGCTGTGGGGCAGCCACTCTGCACATCACACCGCCTCTCAGCACGGTTTTCTCTTGAGCAAGATTGCTACCCTTCCACCTGAGCTTTCACATCATTCCAGCCTTGGTTCGGGCAACTCTTTTCCCTTCGCTATTTAGCCACATCAGGTTTGGATTTGATTGAACTTGAGCTTCGTGGGCCCCCTCCACTTTCTATAATCTGCTCAACTCTGCCCTATTCTACTCCACTATTTTGATTCTATTCTAATCTTATTCTATGTTAATCTATTTTTTTCCTCTCATCTCGCCTCCCTTTTATCAGGGCAGTGGTGCTCGCCCTGCCTGCCCTCTCTGGCCACTCCCAGGGCACCCACAGGAACTGCGGATCGATTCCATTAAGCACCAGGGCCAAGCAGCCAGCACGCAGTTCATTAAGACAGCTGACGAGGAGCGTCTGTTGAGCTCATCAGAACCCTCTTAGGAGAATTTTCCTCTCCTCTTAATAGACATCTCCAGCAGAGCTCCAACCCTGGGATGACAGGGCATAAATAAATATTTTCCGGGCACGTACCCCTGAGGGATGCTCTTCTGCCTTCCCATCTATTAGGCGTAACGACTTGCTGATGAACAAAACCGCAGTCACTCAGCAGAGCTGCGCTCCAGCTCCTGACCACGGTCGGCTTTCAAGCCCTTCCCAGGCCCTCTCTGCCCATCGGTGCTGATGAAGAGCTCTGAGCTCTTTCTGCTGATTGCTTGGCCAGGCAAAGGAAGCAGCAAGGAGCCCGGTGGCCCTGCAGAAATCGAGCTCTTTGGAGCAGTTAGCGCTCGGTGCCTCCCATCAGCAGCTCCAACATCGCTGTGATATCTCACCTCCTGTGCATGGAGACGAAGGGAGCCAAGGGGCCGTGCTGTGCTCCTCAATCCACGGAGAGTGGCTGATGCTGATGCTTAGGCTGCAGCTGGTGTCTCCGTTTTGGCTCTTCAGGCGTGCTGGAAGGAGGAAACCCTTTCCCACCTTCCCTACAAACAACCTCCCACCTTTCTTTATCCGCACGCTGAAGCCTCAACCATCAGCAACGTTCAGCTCAAACCACTCACCCTTCTGGCTATATTTGGGTGCTTCTTCACCTGCGTGCCCTTCTCTGTGCATCCCGGGAAGCTGCCTTGCTTGTGTGCGATGTCCTCAACCTCCTTGCAAGGCAATCCCAAAAGCTCATTGTCCCCAGGCCTGTTTAGCATCACTTTACCCTCTTTGATGAACACCTCACGGCTTCCGCTTGCTTCTGAGAGAGAAGAGAACGCTGGTAGCTCCCACTTGGGTTATCAGGGAGGTTTCCTAGGGCGTGCACATGAGCCCCTGATCCTTTGTGCACTGGGGAACTCCCGACAAGCTGCCATTCCCTGCCAGCACGTTTTGTGTGCGCAGAGTGTGATGCTCTTTGTTTTCCTTCCCAAGCGTACGGAGCTGCGGTAAAAGCCGCTGGAACGCTGCTTCTTCTCAGCCTGATTTTGGGCGTTCTGCTGTACAAGAGGGCTGACATTGCCGGCTATATCCGAAGGTAGGAGTGCTCCAGCAACCAGCAGTCCCTACCCCAGGCTGTCAGGGTGCCCGGGGTCGGGGTCGCCGTCACCACAGCACCGCAGGGATGTGGCACTGAGGGCTGTGGTGCGTTGGGCACGATGGGCTGAGGTTGGACGTGGGGACCTGAGGGGTGTTCTCCAACCTCAGTGATTCTGTGATTCCATGGTTTCTTTCCTTGGGGAGGAATGCAACCAACCATGTCCTGAGCTGGGAACAGAGTTCTCTCACTGCTGCTTCTTACCTGGAAATGGCTGCTAGAGCTTCATTGCTTTCAACCCATTCTGGCATTTTGTTTTTTTCCATAGAAATTCTGAAATGAAAGCTGCCGTCTGACTTCGGGGTATTTTTTTACAAACTTTTACTTCTTCCAATCAGCTCTTCCTTGTTTCCCTCAGTTGCTTTCCCTCTTCCTTCCATTTTCACTTCCTTCCACGAAGAAAAGAGTTGAGAAAAGAAAGATTTCTGCATAGCGGGCGGAAGACAAGCACTCCCTTCTCCTCTCACTGCTCTGCTTTCGTCCTCAAACAGCAGCATCTCACCCTGCACAAAACCCCTCCGCAATGGTCACTGAGCACTTTATTTCATAGGTGGCGACATCAAAGACGGGACAGAAGGAACAACCCCACTCCTCCTCCTCCAGAACTGGTAAGCACTGCTCCCACCTCCATTAAAACTAATGCTCTCGAAGAGGGGGGGTTGGGAAACAGCAGCTCCTGGCTGCTTTCCTCCCATCTATGTTCTTTCCCAGCCATTCTTGCTCCTCCGGTTCTGCCGGTGCGAGCTGAGAGGTGAGGACGCACCCAAAGGATACAAATACTTGTCAGTATCCCTGCAGAGAACTGTTCTGGTTCGTGCCAAAAAAGAGTTTAACGTAAAAATACCAGGTTCCTATAAATAGAAGTGCATTCGGGCTGACTGCGCCGAGAGCCGACGTTAGCGTGAGAGCGCAGCTGCACAAAGCCCAAACAAAGCATTTCTTCTTGTCAGAAATGAGAATGCTGCCTATGAGTGAAGAAAGACA